CACCTGCTCCTCCTCTTCCTCCTCCTTTTTCTTCTCCTTGTCATCATCATTGTCATCATCATCGTCATCATCATCATTATTATTTGGATTTTGGAAACAAGGTTTCTCTGTGTAGATGTAGCTGTCCCCAAAATGTTCATGCCTCTGAGTCCTGAGCGCTGGGATCAAAGGCCAATCCCATTACTGCCCAGCTTTCATTCATTTTTCTGTTTTTTTTTAATATATTTCTGTCACATGCTGTGACAAAGAGAAGGAGAATGGATAAAAGTGAAGTTCATTCATACAGCATTTACTGGAGCTCAAAAAAGAGCATTACTGATCATTATAACCATTAGAAATGTTGCATTTTGTGTTTATTATGAAGTGTGAAAAATGCAGAATTTGTCAGCCCATGTAATAAATGGATTAATTATACATTCCTCTGATTAAACCATTTTTCTTATATTGTCTGTCTTAAGTGGTTAATATATGGCTGCCCTTCTACTCAATGTATTTTTGGAGTATATTATATAATAGAGAATTTAGCCTCAGTGTCATTCAAACATTTTCTACACTCAAATTAATGTGAAATGTATTCAGATTTTTTCAGTGAACATTAAAATACATCATTAGTGATGATATTTTTAATTCACAAATGTATTTAAAGTTATTTAGCTTGTTATTGTACATTTATAGGGGAGAGATTTCTCATTAACACATAAATTATTTGACAATATAACAAAAGTTAATGGACATATCATTTAGCCTTAAGAAAGATTTGAGACATAAAGAGAAGTAATTATTGTTTAATCAAGCAGACATTGAAACAGCTATATAGTCTAAGCAGCTTTATAAAAATACCTTTTTTATACCTATTTTAATGTCTGTTATATTTTTAAATGTAAATAAAAGGAATGAGAAGATTTTTTTCATTACATTTCAATTTTAGTTTTCTGGAGAGTGTTTTTTATGTTATTTTAAAATTATGATATTTAGAATCTCTTCAAGTGGGTTAGGCAGAGCTATTTTTGCTCTCATGTGACTTAAGCATTTTGGCTGGAGTTGCAGAATGGGAAAGTACATTTACTAGACAGGAGATGCTTATCAAATACTTATAGGGCAAAATTCTGAGTTTGCTTGTGTCTTTGTGATCTCCTTCTTGAGTGAGCACATACCTGTCTTGAGCTCTGCTTGCACAGTTATTCTAAAGTCATCTCAGATACATTTGAGAAAAAGTGGGACCGATGTTCTAGTATGAAAATATCTAACTCCAGTCCCTATTGTGCACACTCACATACATGCATTGTTAGCATATTGAATTGAAGCCTTGAATCCCATTAAAGTCCTGAAGTTGTAATATAATAAGCTAAATGATTAGGATTCTAGTTCATTATCCATTCATTTCCTTCTGAAAAAGTAAGGTTATTGTAAGAATGTGTTTCAGCATTCCTTTATCAGTTACAGGAATAAAATGATTTAGGTAACATTTAGATACAATTACCTTTTCAGCTCTTGAGACACCATGATAAAAGAACACTGTGCCAAAGGCACACACAGAAAGTTGTCATTTAGGTAAAGTTAGCAGCTGAGCTAATTGGCACACTTTGGCAAAGATGACTGTTTTTAAAGAGAAAGTGCTACCTTTGATTTGCCTGGTACTGACAGAGTTACGGCAGTAGGCTTTTGAGGGGAAATTAATTTCCTGTCATCAAATAGCGTGGATTATAGTCTTTGTTTCTTTCCACCTTGGCCACAGAAACAACTCAGAGGCTTTTTAGACAGCATTACAAGGCCTTTTGTAAAGCAGTCACAATCATAGCTCAGAATGCTTTCCCTGGTCTGTTCTGTAGATGTACGGCTGACCTCCTTGCTTCTTTGAGGCTGAGAACCCCAGCTCCATAAGCAACTGTATTGATGAGGCGTTATTTGATGAAGGAAAAAACTAACAGCAAAAGCCCTATATTTATACAGAAGAAATCTCAGTGATGTTTGAAAATGTAGTTCTTCTCTTTAAAGGTTTTATTGCATTGTGTGTGTGTGAGTGTGTGTGTGTGTGTGTGTGTGTGTGTGTGTGTGTTTAAGCTTGTGTATGTGATAGTGAGTTTATGGAGGTCAAAGGACAACTTGTAAAAGCCAGTTCCTTCCGTCTATCAGTTGTGATCTGGAGATTGACCACAAGTTGTTAGACTTAGCTGCATGGCTTCATCTTTGAAGAAATCATTCCCACCTGTAAAGTGTGTTTTCAAAGCAGGGCTTTGTGCATTAGTAAATGTTGCTGAGCAATTAACAGGTACCATTTTAGAAACATACACACTCAAATATGTGTGTAAAGAAATATGTTTAATATATTTTTAGAAACGAGATTGCTTAAAAGCAGTGTGCACACATCTGAAAGTTATGGCATTCTTAACTCACTACAACAGAAAAGCAATCTTTTATTTTCCCTCTTCTGTAGGATAAGGTAAACAGTGGAGAATCAAGGAAAAGAAACAAGAAGTGAAAAGCTATAGAGAAAGTGGTTCAGGGTCAAGGACAGATAGGCATTTTTGCTGGCTTCCATGCTTTGGAGGCAGGATGTACAAAGCTTCCCCTTGTTCTCATATTCAGAGTACTACATCCCAGGAGTTAACTTTGTGTTCTGTGAGCAACTTTAGTGTCCTCCTAGGCCTGGGAGAGGACATCAAACATCCTATAGTCCATTACTTGTACCCAAGGGAGGACTTTCCCTCTATTTAGAGAAGGTTGGGTTTGGGTTTTATAGCCGACAGACCAGGCAAGTGTTCTACGATTGCCTCTTTTATTACCATTAGTTACATTATTAAATTTGTCCCAAAACCAAGCTTTAAAGGTTACATCCCTACATTCTTCTCCAAAGCTGCTAAATGCTGGCATTTATTGCAGGCATGGACCACCATACACAATTACAGTTTAGCCTGAGGATAACTAGCTCACTGCCAAAGTATAGATACGTGGATCCTTACTAGACAAATGAATTTTCAACAGTAATGGAAAAGAGTTCTGTTTTTATTTACAATCATTTTTCTACAATTATACTTTATAATACAAGCAATGAGGGCTAGACACATGTACTGTGCTTTAGAACATGTACTATATTATAAAGGATCTGAGTTTGGTTCCTAGTACTCTGGTCAACTGTTTCACAACTCCTTGTTACCCCATCTCCATGGGATCTAATGCTTCTGGTGTCTACCATAACTACACTCAAATACACACAAACATAATTAAAAATAAAAATTTAAAAAACATACAACTAGACTATTCAGAAATGTTTGGATTATTTTATTGCTTGGTATCGTGTACATCACAAAGTGGAATGAATTCTAAAGATGTTACTTGTTTAGCAGTCTTGATGAGTCCAAGAAGCCTCATCAACTTCCCTCAACTTGACTGTCTTATGTGGGGTTTCTGATGTCTCACTGAAATGAAAATGGTCCTGTAGAACTCATTGGAGCTGCGGTGTTAACTAAATTTATCTGTTAGAAGAATGGAAATATAGATGGCAATATCTGTCTCCCTCTGAACTTGGATTGAGTTCCGACAATGTAGTGGCTGTGAGAAGAACACTTTAGTGATGTGACACTTTCTCTAAAGCAATGGGTATTGTTTCATCAGTCTCTGAAATAGATGCTTAAGTTAACATGTTTGCTGGCATCCAGAAAACTCAATAATCATTTTGTTCTCATCCTGTTTCCTACAGCTAACCCTACCCGAGTGGGCGGTCGCGAACCATACCCAGGCTCTGCAGAAGTGATCCGGGAATCCAGCAGTACCACGGGCATGGTGGTGGGGATTGTCGCGGCAGCTGCTCTGTGCATCCTCATCCTCCTCTATGCCATGTACAAGTACAGAAACCGGGATGAAGGGTCATACCACGTGGATGAGAGTCGAAACTACATCAGTAACTCAGCACAGTCCAATGGGGCTGTGGTCAAGGAGAAACAGCCCAGCAGTGCGAAGAGCGCCAACAAAAACAAGAAGAACAAGGATAAGGAGTATTATGTCTGATCTCAACATTCAAAAAAGACACTTGTATAAAAATAGTCTTCATTTTATCTGAGACATAATATAAACTTATTTACTTTCCTTTTTATGAAGCACATACAAAAGAAGACAGGGAATGCGATCAGGAGGGAAAGCTTTTTAAACAAACAAACAAACAAACAAACAAGTATCTCATGCTCTTGTTTCTCAAAAAAAAACCATACACACACAAAAAAAAAATGGAAGAGAGAAGAAAGGAAGGAAAATACTAAAACAAACAAACAACAGGGGCCAATAAAATTCCCTAACATCCGCAGTGTTTTCATTTACTCTGCCTGTCTTTATGTTGCTGGAACATTCTAAAAGACGGTGAGGACCGCACGCATTCATAAAGCAAAGGAGTATTACATCGAGGCACAACACAAAACCAACACAAAACACAACACACACAAAGAAGCTACCTATGATCCTGGATTCAGCCAAAGTGCTAGTGCTTTCCTGAGGAGCCAGTCAGTGGGAGAGCCAGAGAAGAACGTCTTCTTGTGGGACCATCTGCAGATTACGAGGAGTTGGTCAGCTGGAGCAACTGGAGCAGGGGTTGGAACTTGCATTTGAAATAAATTGCTGGCTTTTGTTTGAAGACTTATACAGGAATGCATTAAAAAGCCCCTTTCTGTTTGTGAGAGAATAATAATTAAATTAAAGTATGGAGGCCTTATTTTCAAAAATGGGAAATATAAGGCACGTTTTCACATTAAAATTTCAAAACAAAAATGAGAGGGCATAGATGCAATCATTGGGAAATTTTCATGCACGCTTACTATGTTATTACATATGTTTATATAAACCCATCTCTGTGTGCTTTCTGGACTGTGATAAGTGACGTTTTATAGCCTGTTGTATAGAAAATGCAAAATATATCTCTGCTCTTCAGCCACTTTTGGTAAATTCAATGTTATAAGTGTTGCTAAGTATAGGGAGTTTTATGACATTGGAGCAACAATTATTTCAGACAGATTTTTTTGCCACCATTATAAATTGCCACAATTACTTACTTTTTTAAACAAAAATTACAGTGTAGTGTTTATTCTAAGAAAGATATGTATGAATGTATATAAAAGGACTCAGCTCAGCTCCTTCTTTTCTTACATATATAGCCTTCATTCTGTTGCATTATTAAGTTTTAGTATTTGTATGAAAGGTGTGAATTAGAAGGTGGAACATATATCTAAGTATCATATAAACCTTTTTCTTTCCCAAATACTCATATTTCTATATATGTTTAACATTCACACACATACACACACACACACACACACACACACACACACACACACACACACGGGGGGAGAGAGAGGGAGAGAGAGAGAGAGAGAGAGAGAGAGAGAGAGAGAGAGAGAGAAGCAGCCATCAAATATGATACAATATCAAAACACACAAATACTTACAAATGGAAAGTGTGAAGGAAGACAGTTGTGCCAAGGTATTATAACAAATGGGTGGTTTGCTTCCTTGAGATCCTGATTCCAGGAAACCTTGAGTTCTTAGTCCCTAGTAAAATGGAAACTTTTTTTTTTAATAAAAAAAGAATCATCACCATACATGGCTACATAAATACACATCATTCTACAGGCATTACATAAACAATGTTGGTGAACTCTGTCTGCTGCTGTGGAAAACTTTTTCCCATAAAATTATATACATTCTTTGAACATGGTGTGTGTGATTAAGCTTTATGGCAAGTAAGCATTTTCTCAATTAAAAAAGTATTCTCAGTAATTTTTGATTCTGTATTACTACCCATTTAAATAATTCTATATTGTTGACTATTGACTAAATTTTAACATTTCTGGTTTTACATCTATATACTTAAACATACTTTTAGTTTAACATACACTGTGTAGTAGTGAGGTATAGATTACACACTTGTTTTGCATATTGTTTCAAGTATGTTCATAGCAATAAATTATCAATGTGAGAAAATAATTTTGAGGTTGGAGGGTGATGCCTCTGTAAAAATTGATCACATAACATAAATATCTAAAAGAATGATACTAGGTTTCATAAAAGAACAAGATACTATTACAATCAGCTTTAATCAGCAAGGCAAAAAATGTAAAACATCTTTTGTAGTACTTTAGTTGATGAACAACATGCCAAGAAGTGGCCTGGATTTCAGACATAGCACTACCTTAGAAATACATATATGTCATAGCAAATCACAATGAGGTACAGCTGCCAAGAAATTGTGTAAGAAGTCTTAAAGGCAGTTCATCACCTGAAAAATAGATGGCACAAAGTTAAAATTCAATACCCATTTCTTCTGTTTCAAGTCTTCATATATTTTTAATTTGCCAGGTTAAAAGATCTCACAAGTCTTTTCCCCTACCCCTCTCATTCAGTCTTACTCAGGGAAAGCCAGAGAAATAAAAAGGAACATAAAATCACCAATTTACAGCTTAAAGCATACACACACATACACACACATACTTTAACCTATTGTATCTATTTAACACAAACTAATTTCTTCTGGACAAATTCTAAAAGATGGTGGAAGAATTCATTGACTTGTAGCTTTTTAAATGGTCTCTCTGGAGCCTTGCTGTTTATAATTGATTTCAGTGTTTCTTCACAGCAAGAATGTCAAAATTCCACACATTGATATAAACTGATAGTGCTGGTAAAAACATATATCTAATTTTACTGACCTACACAAAAGTTAGCAGGTTTTCCCCCTGAATGGAGAAGGAAAAGAAAGGACTGTGAATTTTTGAAGGAAAAAGACTTGAATCCAACCCATGTATCGTTATACTAAACATATCAGGTTCCGTGTGTCACTTGCAACTCACAGAAGTTCTCACATTACCTGGCATAAAGTGACTACATCTCTTGATTGTAACTTTTCTGATTGAATATGCTTCTTTTCTTAATCCATGAAATGTGTTGCCTTTTAAAACAAAAACGATGACTACAATAATGTATGAGGTGGTTTATCCCTAAGAAGTCAACGCAAAGTCACTTCAATCATACTCTTCTAGTGTTTCGAGTGACTGAGTATCTAAGGGGTTTGTTTTGTTTTTCTGTTGCAAGGCCAATTTATCCATTATTGGAAATGCTAAGCAAGTGGAATTTACTGTTTTGTTAATAAAATATTTCTTAATACAACTGTGGTTTATTGACTTTAAAATTTGCACATGACACCACTTCGCCACTGAACACAGCAGTGAGGAAGACAGCATTTGAAAAGAAATCTTATCCCCAGACACACACAGGAAAAGATGATGTCACACCCCTTTCTGCATTTTACTACTCAGACAGTCCCTCTGCTTGTACACTTAAGATGCAAGTACTCCATGTAGCTTTCATGGAAAATTACAGAACTATCAGGAAACAATATGAATATATGCTGATGTCATAAATACACACTCTCTGTAAATTGCAATGGAATTAAAGTTAAATACACCTGTAAGTAACTAAAGAACGTCTCATTAGCTACGATTTCCTCTTCCTCTCTCTCTCGCTCTCTCTCTCTCTCTCTCTCTCTCTCTCTCCCTCTCCCTCTCTCTCTCTCTCTCTCTCTCTCCTAAGAATAACATCAGAGTTATAAGGTGGTTGTGATACTATGAATTAATGTGTCTAGTACAAGTAAGTACACAGGGAAGATACCTACAACAGTATCTCTCTAGGAACTCAGGCCTTGAGGAAACAGAAACATTAAGATGGTTATTTGAAAAACATGCAAAATGAAAAAAGACAAAAAAATCTTTACCAAATACTGACATATGTATAAACAGACATAAAATTTCTATATAAAGGTTATGCTCAGTTTTCATAAAGCAAAGCACTGTTATGGCAACCATATGGCCCATCACAAACTTTCAGTCCAACAGCTGGTAATTACAAAAGACATTGGATCTTTTAAAACAACTTCCCAGTAACAAAATCATGACACGTTTTCTTCCATTTTCATATTAATGAGTTTCAACATTACTACTTTGGTAGTTATTAATATATTCTTACAAAGGTTTCTATCATTCCTTTCTTAATACTAATCTACAAGTTTGATGTGTATAGGAGAAACAATTCATATTTTCTTAATGTTTAAATTAAAGACTATGTCATTTAGCTTACCTTAAAAATGTAGGACATTTCAAAGATTGTAACTATAAAGGCTACAATCAATACATAACCTGTTCTACATTCATTTGACTTGCTGTGGTAAAATAGCTTGACAAAGAAAGTTAAGGGGAAAAGGTTTCCATCCAGGTTACAGTCCATCATTGAGGAGACGTCAAGACAAGAATTTAGGTAGCTAGTCACATCAAATCCACAATCAGAAGCAATGAGAAATAAACATGGGTATATAATTTTTATTTGCTTGTTTTCTCTTAGTCAGCTTTCTCTTACACACTGTTCATGATTTCCTGCATGGAAAATAGTGTCATCCACAATGGACTGAGTCATCCTATATCAATGAATAATCAATGCAATCCTAATGCCCTACAGACGAGACCACAGTCCAACCAAATCTAGATAATTGCTTATTGATAATCTCTTCCTAAATAATACGAGGTTGTGTCAAGTTTGGATATAGACAAAGCTTTTATAAGATATATGCTGAAAATAAATGTTGCAGGGAGGTTAAGAATACATCAGGGAGATCACTAACTTTAAAAGTGCCCATCTATGGTACAAAGGGTATTCTTAATAACTATACATTCAGTAATGTAATTTCTTTGGATATTACTTTTGCTTCATTGTTTACAAGTTGGGTCTTCTCGTAGTTATGAACACTACTGTGTGAATGCTTTCTTATCCCAATTACATCCAACTTTCAGAGCAAATTAATATTCATTTATAGATAAAATTTTCCAAGACTTGGAACATTCAATTTAGCAATCTGAAGATGGGCTACAGATACCCAATATATAGCAAGCTCCTATACATACAAAGCATCTGTCTTTTAACACTTGAAGGTCGCTGCTCTCGTAAAATAGCAGATAGACTATGAAGAACACCTAAGACACCACCAAATGGCTGCTTATATTTCAGGATAAAGGAGACAACTACTATTCTGATGATTTCCAGACAGAAGGCACATTTGATGTCTTTCTGATGCATTTTCATTCCTCAAGGTGACTTAGTTGTTCTAGATCTGCTTCAACTATGAGTGCCTTGTGTTAAGTACTCCTTTTGCGAATGTAGTCTGTCCAAACAATATAGCAATTTGAGGTGACAAACAAGAACATTCAAGTGGGTTCTATCGTCCTCCATCTGCAGGAAAAAAATGATTCTCCACTGAGCAAAATATATTGAACAGTAAAAAGAAGACATTTTAGAAAAGATGAGATATTGATAGTATCAATATAACATTGCAGAAACAAGCCTGGTTGAATAGTAACTGTTAACAGTGTTCTACTTTAAATTAAAATATCTCATATAGTAATTTTTTACTAACATAAAATTTACAATAAATCTGGTCCTAAAGTCTAGGCTTAAAAATTACTAGCTGTAGGAGTTGATTCAAAATTTAGACAGCTGAGAAAGAGAAAAATGGATCAACCTACAGGATTTTGAAGTTAGAAACAACAAAACCAAACCAAACAAAAACAAACAAACAAACAAAGAGGGTTAGAGAGATGGCTCAGCATTTAAGAACACTGACTTCTCTTCAGGGAGTTTCTGAATTCAATCCCTAGCAACAACATGGTGGTTCACAGCCATCTGTAATGGGAGCCGATGCCCTCTTTTGGTGTGTCTGAATATAGCTACAGCGTAATCATATACATAAAATAAATAAATAAGTCCTTAAAAAGAAACAAAACTAAACCAAAACAACAACACCAAAACAAAAACAACAACAAAAATAATTTGCATGTTTTATACAGAGTATTTGATTAAAACAGATATGTTGCTTACCTGTTTAATAGGTAGAACATGCTAGGCAGTTAGTATGACTATTATTGTTGATTTAAGATTAAAATTATTTTAAATTATTTTAAGGTATATATTTATATTTCTACCAGTAAAGATAATTCTGTGGCACCCCAGACCAAACATTCTTTATCCAGCCATGCCTACAAGAATAATGTTTCTTTGCAATCTCATTTTGCCAGTGAATAACTATGCTTGCATGACAGTGTGCTTTGTTTCTAATGCTCTTTGTACCACACAGAACATCCCTCTCTCCCACATGCTAGCCTTTTCAATTTTATCAGCCTTCACTCAATCGTGCTTGGGCCTTCTCTTTCTCAACCTTAAAATTATGGTTTACATTTTATTAAACTATAGACATTCTAAACCTATTGAATTCTTTTAAGTTATTTCAAACCACATTTTTACAGTTAGTATGATGGCTTAGAGAGGAAAAATAAAACGAAACAAAATATTTCCTGAAAAACCTGAAAGCTTATGTTCCGTCTCTGGAATCTGCACTGTAGAAGAAGAGAAACCACTCCCTCCTGCCCCACTTCTTCCTCTTGAAAGCTGTCTTCTTACCTCTATATTCAGGGTAATATGTGTAAGCATATCTATACAATCGATATGTAAACATGAAGAGAGTAGGGTACGACAGAGAGCCCAGCAGGCCTAAACTTTATAAAAAGAACTACAGACAAATAAAGGCATCTTCTTGTTTTTTAAAAATCTTTATTTTCTCATGAAACACAAGCACCCAACTAAATTCTGACCAACAGCAACCTTTGTTGTTTTTGTTACCAGTTTTTCCCAAACCAAGATAGTTTTTTTTTACTTTTTTTAAAATTGGATATTTTCTTTATTTACATTTCAAATGTTATCTCCTTTCTTAGTTTCCCTTCTGTAACCTCCCATCCCATTTCTCCTTACCCTGCTTCTATGAGGCTGCTCTCCCACCTACCTAGTCTCAGCCTATATGCTCAGGCCTATACTGGGTTCCCAAATAGCTAAGCGTAGTCTCAGCCAACTGGAGAAATGAATTTCAATGGAGTATAAACTATGTCTAAACTATCTTTTCTGGTAGGACCCCCATAACAATGAAAACAAAAATAGTGGAAGATACATTTCTATACTGTGCTTTTCAACAGCAGGCACTTCTGCTTCCAGGGGCATTTGATAATACCTGGATAAGAAGAACTAAGGTTATGTATCTGATAGAGATTAGGCATTGTCATAGTAACTCGTAGTAAACAAACTAACAAACAGTTATTTTTGTCTGAAATCTCAACACTGTGTGATGCAGCAGTTGTCCATCATATCTGTGAACTGGCTAGTGTAAGGCCTATAAGCTTGCCAATTCTTTCAGTAGAATCTCAGCATTTACCAGAAAATCCTAAGAAAACCATCTGAAATTAGGAATACATTCTTCTCAATTTGTCTGTGACTTTAATGAGTAAAAGAATTAGCTAAATTGGTAATACTGTTTGCTAATCAGTAACATTAAAAAAATAAAATATTCATAGGGTATGTATTTTTTTAAAAAAAACTATTTTGATTTTAATTTTAAGCTTATCATTGTAGTGATTTACAATTTCCTGTGAAGTTTACTTGTGACATTGGGAAAGTAAGACCTTTTTGGTTCTTTGGACCTTTCAGCTTTCTTCCTAAAAACATTAAAATAATCAGTATACCTTCCCATGTTGTGTAGAATGTAATTGGTCTTTGCTAGAGCAGGATGCCTCAAAAAAGGAGTGTGGAAGTCGCTTGTTCTTTGACTACCTTGACAATCCATTCTCACTGGTGCTTGATTGCTTGAAGCTTAATTCAAAAGACTAAGATGTAAGCTTGGACTGTTTGATTTATCCGAGGTGCTCAGTGTGCACTTGAGTGTTTTGCCTTGTTTTCAGAAGGCCACTGTGATATAGTTTGGATCTTAAGTGTGTTGCTAATACACATCTTATGACTTTGGTCCCTTGGAAGATGGTAGCACTTCCATCTTTAGAGGTTTTAAAGAAGAGAGTTGGATTATTGACAGGAAGAAATTGGAGAGCTGAGTCCTTCATTTCTTTCTCTCTTGCTTCCACTATTCTAGCTACAAATAAATGGGCAGCTTTTTCCAACCTCTGGTCGTCATGAAATAATGGATCACCACAAATGCAAACCAAGTGGACGGAGTGACCATGGACTGTGGCTGCAAGCAAAAATAAACCTTTTTCTTTGAATGAGCTTAATCATCTTAGGTATTTTGT